ACACGAGTATGCATGCCAAATTTCAGCTTTCTAGCTCTTATAACTTCTGAGATCGACGCACTCATACGGACGGACGGACGGACGGACGGACGGACAGACGGACAGGGCTATATCAACTCAGCTCGTCGCGCTGATCAAGAATATATATACTTTGTGGGGTCTGCCACGCCTCCTTCTGCCCGTTACATACTTTTTCACAAAACCATTATACCCTGATTTCCCATTTTCAATGGGTTCAGGGTATAAAAAGGTGCAATCTCCTCTATTTGGCCCTGGCGATGTGGTTAAGTAAATGGAATGCAGAGAGAAACCTTCGTTGGGTTATAATGAAAGATGACCAAATAGAAGCAGTATAGAGATGCCAATGAGTCACACATCATTAAGAGTAGCTATAGTGATAGAATGATACAGTGAGTGGGGGAGTGGGGGGTAGTGGGGGAGAGCCAACTCGAAATGCAACCTAATTCACATAAAAGTCACATAAAGTAAATAAGTTTGATTATGTGAGCAAACGAGAGAAGCTGAGTGACCACACCGAGGAGGAGTCGGAGTACTGAAGCATTCGAGAAGTGAGAAACACTCTGTCTGTCCCGTTGCTCGACTGTGAGAATTTTCTTGTACAGGGACTATCCTTATGAAACTTTCAAAACATGATCATATGGCTAAAATGTGTGTACATTCCAAAGCAAAAATCTCTAGTACTTGAAATACGTCTTTTTCTAAATTAAGGGCGAAGGGGGCGTGGTATCCAAAATCTGTAATTCGTGCTCATGTAATGTATATACACAGTAAATTTGAATTCTCTGGGTCTAAAAGTGTTCAAATTAGGCTGAAACAACGAAATGATCGATTTATCGATTATTCTCGATAAAAAGTTATCGAATGAGCTATCGAAAAAGTATGATCAACTTGTACTGCGTATGGTATACACGAGTATTTCAGCTCTCTAGTTCTTGTATCTTCTGAGATCAGCGTGCTCATACGGACGGACAGGCGGACAGACGGACAGGACTATAACGACTCAGCTCGTCGCCCTGTTCAAGAATATATATGCTTAATGGAGTCTGCGATGCTTCCTTCTGTCTGTTACATAATTTTCACAAAACCATTATACCCAGATTTTCCATTTGCAATGGGTTCAGGGTATAATGAAAATGAAAATGGGAATGAAAATGAAAATGTTCAACTGCAGCGGGGTCAAGCGGATGGCTGGTCAGACGAGGGCTCTGTGGGGCTGCTTAGTGGGCGCTGTGACTCGCTGAGTGGGCGGTAAAAGTTTTTAATAAACCGAAACAACAAACATGGCGCCAGCGAAATGAAGGCCAGTAACTATAGAGCACACACACACACACAGAGACACACAGGCACACACGCACACACACAGAGTCGCACAGCAACCGCCAACAGCCACAATAATGACACACAAAAAACTTTGACAATGTAGTCGTGCGTGCTGACATCCTCCCCCTTTGGGCAGCCACCGCCTCCTGCCTCCTGCCGGCTGCCGGCCATGTGTAGTTGCTGCGCCGCCTTTTGGCCAACGGGCCATTGCCATTCAAGCCGCATTCTCGGTGCTTTAACGGAAAAGGATTTCAGCCGCAATGAAAACAGCTATGAAAACCACAAAATGTGCTGCCTGCTGCTGCTGCTGCACCGTCGAGTAGTGTCGCCCTCTGTGTGCGTGTGTGTGTGGGTGTATGTGTGTGTGGGTGAGTGGTGCAGTGGAACATCAAATTGCTGACCACACGCAGCGAAAGGCGGTGGGTCGGTGGGGCAACTGGTGAGGGATGATAGGCGGCGTGCGGCGACGTCTGGATGAATGGATATTCAATTGCATTGGGTGTGCGTTACAATTGAAGCGGTTTTAAAATAAACGAATGTGGCTTATTACGCACACACACGCACACACGCATACACACACACGCACAGCTAACACCCGCACAACAAAATAAATATCGAATTGAAATTGACAAGCTGTGACAAGGACACGCAGGAAACAGGCATGAAAGAGCAGCAGACAAAGGCGCAGAGAGCGAGAGAGCGAGAGAGAGAGAGAAAACGTAAGACAGGGAAAGGGAGTGAGAGAGAAGGCGCGTCGTATCCGTTCATAGGCAATTCGCTCCCTTCAAGGCGTCGCACTCTATGCCAGATCCATGACAAGTACAGTAAACACTCGTCAAGGCAACCAACAGTAGTTACAGTTACTTAGATTCAGGTCTAATGTCCGATATTCTATGGTGCTCTTGGCTAACCTGACAGCTTGAGCAGTCTCCAGGCCTATTCAAAGGAGCTGGCGCGAGAATCATTCGATATCGTGGGCTTAGCAAAAGAAAATTTGAATTTGTTATTTATAGCATTCACAATTAAAGGCGCCTGCTCTCTGTCTCTGTCAGGCCAAGGGCCCATCTGCGTCTATCACTCGCTCGCTTCGGCCGCAGGACCTTGACGCCGAGCCGAGGCTGAGACAACCCTCATCAGAAAGTCGTTTTGTGTTCTTGCCATTCAAGGAGACACGTGGAGCTGGGCCTGGCTGGCGACAAGTCGGACACCTGGAGGCGCCGCCAATTTCGCAGAGTGGCCCGCAGGCAGCAACGCACTTTGATCACGCCGGGCTAATACGATTTTAAAGGTTATTCCTCGGTGGGCGTGTCAGAAATCAAGTGAAAAATGTAAAAGTAAAAGCGGCTCGACACTTGATGGAGCAGGCACCACCCAGGGGGCAGGGGCGGCACTGTTACAGGCTAAGCATGTACCATACAACACTCGAACGGGCTAATTTTATTAATGTTGCCAATTTCAAAGGTCCCTGTACCAACCACCCACCCCCCCTACAGGTGAGGCGGGTGGGGGGCCACTGGGGGTTGGCAATGTTAGAGGGTTGCAATGCTTACGCGCGCAATTAAATATGAAATATTTAAGAGCTGCCTCAATTGGCAGAGGGGGCGACAGCGAGGAGGCGGTGCAGCTGGGATGAGCGGCTGGTAGATGCCGCCGCACAATGTGCGTTTCATTCACTTGCCAAAAAGTTTTGCCAGGCAAACAAAGGGCGCACCGTGGGGCGGGCTAAACGGGGTAACGCCGAGACTAATTAATAATTTTTAGGCCATTCAGCAGAAAAATGAGGTGTAAACGCAGTGGGTGGGCGCAGCAGGAGCAGGAGCAGGAGCAGGGGCAGGGGCAGGAGGAGGCCGAGACCGAGGCGGAGTTGATGTTTTACAGGTGCGCTGGCAAACTTTGACTCAAGTTGATTAAGTTGGCTTTTTAATGGAGTTCAAAGTGATTTCATTTGCAATTAATGCGCGACGCGGCGATTCCCTGGCAGCTGGCCAAACGATTGCCAGCGATTGCTGCCCGGAGAGGTGTGGCTATAGCCCGGCTGCAATTGCTTGCCGCATTGGAGTTGTTAAAGCCATCGATAGCATGAGCATAAGCTAAGACGAATTGCTGGTTTAGTAAACCTAGTGGAGCAACACCCCGGCTAAAGTTTTCTAGCCTGCTTTACGATCCCTTCTCTCTCTATAAGAACTCACATGGCCCATACTTGGCCTTCTCTAACCAAATTTTAAAGTCCCCTTAGCAAATCCCTCAGCACATCATTCGATTCTCCCGTAAGCCTTTATTTTATATTTTTTATAAAAATTATAAATCACATATAAAAAGTAGTCAAGGACGCGATGATTTACCAGATTGTTGTTGCTGTTGTTGTGGTTGTTGTTGTTGTCGTTGTTGTTGTTGCTGTTGGGAGCAAAGTGAGCTGTTTTTTGCGGAGTCAAAGACCCCGACTGAATGACAATGATAAACTACTAACTAAAATAATTTGCATTCGTTGCTGCTACTTGAGCAGGTGCTGCTGAACAATAGACGGATCTACGCTGAGCACGTAGCACCCGTTGACGCGACGGACGTAGCCCTTGTTGGAGGCCTCATACATGGCGTTTGGGGCCAGGCGCTTGACAATTTCCTCTGGACAGCCGAGACGCACGGACAGTTGGGTCAGTATGAATGCAAATGAAAGCGGATTGCCGTGCTCCGCCATCAGGCTGAGCAGCGCGCCCAAAATATTATCGTTCCAGTGGGCCAAAAGGGATGCTGCTGGCGCCGCTTCCCGGCAGCCATTGATGTGAACCGGATTGGTGTAGTATATGGTATCCATATTGACATTCGGATTACGCTTTGCTTTGTATGCGAGAGAGTTTAGATGTCCGTTCCTCGCCTGATCCGGTTCATATTGCTGCGGCTGCTGCTGCTGCTGCTGGAAGTGTTGCTGCAACTGCTGCTGCTGATAGTATTGCTGCAGCTGCTGCTGCTGACAGTGTTGCTGCTGCTGACAGTGTTGCTGCTGCTGATAGTGTTGCTGCTGCTGCTGCTGGAAGTGCTGATGCAGCTGCTGCTGCTGATAGTGCTGCTGCTGCTGCTGCTGCTGCTGCTGCTGGTAGTGTTGCTGCTGCTGGAAGTGTTGCTGCAGCTGCTGCTGCTGCATATGCGGCGGCGGCGGCTGCTGCATTTGGTCATGATTTTCTTGCTTTGGCTTGTAGGCCAGCGACTTGGACGGCTGACCGATGTCGCCGCCTGCCTGTTCATTATACAAATTTTGCCCTAGATAACCCGGCATTTGATCGGGCTGATAGTGGGAAAACTCATGGGTGCGCGACTGAAAGGCGCGTGACAATTGGAAACGGTGCGGCTGCTGTGGATAAGCATTTTTCTGCTGTTGCTCGTGTGGCTGCTGCTGAAGTTGCTGGAGCTGCTGCAGTGGCTGCTGCTGCTGAAGTTGCTGCTGCTGTTGAAGTTGCTGCAGCTGCTGCAGTGGCTGCGGCTGTTGAAGTTGCTGGAGCTGCTGCAGTGGCTGCTGCTGTTGCAGTGGCTGCTGCTGTTGAAGTTGCTGCAGCTCTTGAGGTTGCTGCTGCTGTTGAAGTTGCTGATATTGCTCCTGTTGCTGCTGGTGCAGTGGCTGCTTGTTCGGCAGTTGCTGCTGTTGCTGCTGATAGTAATTGGGATGGTCAGTCCTCTGATCGCGCTTCAGCTGCACTTTCGACTGTGTCGGCGGCAATGTGGACGCCGACTGTTGCAGCTGTTTCGGATATTGTGGAATGGGCCGAACGAGTACATAAGGTTGAGTAGACGTTGGAGCTACCGGAGCAATGGGGATCCACATGACGGTCGGAGCAGTCAGCTGTTTCTGCGGCTGTGGCTGCGACTGCGACAGCGACTCACCTTGATGCTGCAGCTTTTGATCCTGCAACTGTTGTTGCTGCTGATAGTGCTGATGCGCCTGCAACTGGTGTTCTTGCTGCTGCTGCAGCTGCAGCTGGTGATGTTGCTGTTGCTCCTGCAACTGCTGCTGCACCTGCAGCTGATCATGTTGCTGTTGCTCCTGCAACTGCTGCTCCTGTAACTGCTGTTGTTGCTGCAACTGCTGTTGCGGTTCCTCCTGTAACTGCTGTTGTTGCTGCAGCTGCTGCTGATGATGTTGCTGATGCTGGTACTGATATTGCTGCTGCTGCTGCTGCAAATGCTGTTGCTGCTGTTGCAATGGCTGCTGCTGCAACTGCTGCTCCTGCAACTGCTGCTGCTGCAAATGCTGTTGCTGCTGTTGCAATGGCTGCTGCTGCAACTGCTGCTGCTGTAACTGCGGCTCCTTCAACTGCTGCTGCTGCTCCTGCAACTGCTCTTCAGCAATTGGCTGCACTTGGTTGTTGTCTTGGAGCTGCAGTTGCTCCGGTTTCTGCCGCTGTTTCTTTAGCTCCTCCTGTTGTTGTATTTGGTCCTCCTCCTCCTGAACAATTTGCTGCCAGCTGCATCCGATAGGCATCTTGAACGGCGGATCCTTCTGCCACTCCTCCTCCACCTTCTCCTGCTGCTCCTCCAGTGGCTGCTCCTGCAGCTCCTCCTGAAATTCTTGACAATTATTGTTGTTATCGCCGTTGCCATCGCTAGTGCAATGTTGTTCGTTCAATAGCTGCGCTTCAGCTGCTTGCGCCCAACTGCTATAAGCAACCCGAGCAAATTGCTTGGGCTGCTGTTGATTCTGCTCCTGCGGCTGCTGCTGCTGCGACTGCGGCGACCAATTCCTGCCGGCATTCACAACGTACTGCACTTGCTGATGCGGAGCAATCTGCAGCCAATTGTTGGGACGGTGCACAATATATTGAAGCTGCGGTGGCTGCACTGGCGGCAGCGGCGGCTGCTGCTGCTGTTGCCAATTGTTGTCGCCTGGCACAACATAATTCAGCTGATTCGGCTGCACCACTGGTAACAGCGGCTGCGATGGCCGCGGACCAACTTGAAGCCAATTGCCATTGCCATGCAAAGCGCATGGCTGCTGCTGCTGCTGCTGCGGCGGCGGCGGCGGCGGCGGCAGCAGCTCCTGCACCACTTGCCAATTACCAAAAGCCTGAGTACCATAATTTAGCTGCTCTTGAGTTTGATGCGGCAAATTGTTGGTATCAAAAGCTACGCCGACGCCACGTGGCTTAAAAACTTGGGCACCCGGATTGAGAGTAGAGCGTTTCAACAGACGGAAGGTCTCGGCCATATTTTTTTAATCAATACAATAAAAAAAGTATAAAAAAAAAACACAGTAAAAATATAACAATCTGAATAGTGCGAAAAAGTTTTCAGCTCTCCACTGGCAGCTCGAATGAACACGTAATTCAACGAATGACAGTTAATGCAGCGCATCCTGTGAATGGGCGAAATTTAATGGAAAGCCAAACAGACGAGGAGAGGAAGAGAGAAAGCTGTAGTAACAGTGGCAATGAAGACGGCAATTAGAAATGAGAATGGGAATTTGTAGGGAAGAAGAAGACGACAGAGGCCTAAGGAAAGCTCTGGAAACAGAAGTTCCATAAGCAGACATCCACACACAGACTCTACACAGTTATATCTCATATCATTACAGCTTCTGCTGCATTTCATGCAAAAATAATGATTATTACAAGTGCTGGCGAGCAGTGTTGTAAAAAGCCGCATTCTACAGTTTCAAGCACTTTTCAATACTTTTAAAGTTTCAGCTGTCGCACTCATGTAATCCACTTGCGTGTGTGTGTGTGTGTGTTGTGTGTGATTCAGTTATGTCGGAGTTCTTGCGGACTGCTGCTAACAGATGGCCAGCTGACGGACAGCGTGGCATAGAGGAAGAGTGAGCGAATAACAGAGTGTGAGTGAGCGGGTGAGCGGGTGAGCGAGTGAGCGAGAGGGAGCGATAGACTAATTGGAGCTGCAGTCGGTGGGCGAGTGAATGCACGAAGCGTATAAATATCCATAAATGCTGAGCACCCAAGTAGGAAAACACTTTCCAGCTACAACAACAACAACAACAACAACAACAACAACAACAGCAACAAAGGCATTTGCTTGTGAAGCTGCTGCAGAATTTTTGCGGTTGTATTTTGTTTTGTTTTTTAGTGTGCATTTCTCTTATTTTTTCCAGCCCTGTGCCCTGACAATTATTTACACTCAAAAGTTGTTGCCCAAGTTGGCAGCCGGCAGTGCACTGCTCGAAATGCTCAAAATGAAGTTGTAGCTGTGGCAATGTTGCTGGCCAAGTTGCACAGGATGCTCGGGGGCACAGGTGCAGCAGCCCCCACCCGGCCCCACCTGGCCCCGGGTGCCGGCTGAAGTTGCAAGTGGGCTGCTCTGCTGCCAAGTTATGCTCTGCGACAATTGCAGAAATTATGCAACTGCTGTGGCAGCCCTAACCCAGGCAGACAGCCGGTGTGCTGCCTGTCCTGCCTCTGCCTTGTCCTTGCACACAATTAGGCAGGAACAATGCAGCAGCACAAGCTTTGCAAATGCTCATGCATGCCACAGCGAGTAACTGCAGCAGTTCCCTGTCTCTAGCCTTAGCCTAGCCCCCCTCTCTCTCTCTCTCTCTCTCTTTCGCTCGCTCTTTGTGCAAACACCTCTGGCCACTCGGGCGCATATCCTGGCAGGATGTGTTAAGCCAGCATTTGGACTGCACAGCAGCGCAGCATTGAAGTTCATTGCCGACTGTTGTCACAGCAGCGGCTATAAAAAGGCTAAAGAAGAAGAGCAGCCAGACTTTGATGCAGATATTTGTTATACTAGAAATTAAATGATATTACTATATGTCAAGTCTCATACAATTAGTTAGTTCAAATGGGGAAAAACAAAAAAGTCGAAATAGTTTAGCTGTCCCTAACCGAATTGAGTTAGCTCGAAAAAGGCCAGCGTGCGCCAACACTGGCCGTGATGACAGCTGTGTGCTCTGCGAGGCGAGCCGGATGCTTCGGTTGAGCAGATATCCCATGCTTGAGGATGTTTCAAATTACAACTCCATAGTATGATTTGCTTAATTGCAACGCAGCCAAAGATCCGCCAGCCCACCCAATGTATTCCAAACTCCTCCGAAACGATGCAAAAACTTGTATTAACCTAATGTTCGAGTGTCTCATTTATAACTTGGTATTCCGATTTGTATTGGCAGCAAATTCCCGAGTCTTTTGGCTGAGATCGCGCTGTGGCTGTGGCTGTGGCTGTGGCTGCGCCTGTGGCTGTGGCTGTGGTTGCGCCTGTAGCTGTGGCTGTGGCTGTGGCAGTGGCAGTGGCTGTGGCTGGAGTGCCCGAGTCTTGTTGCTCAATTCGTACTCCTTTAGGCGTTCCGGCGACATGAGCTTCAGCAAGCGATGGCGATTGTTGGCCCGGTGACGATTGGCCGCCATGCAGATGCGACGCGAGAGCTCGTGCCCAAAGCACGTCCTGCGCTGTTCTCCATCGCCGTTTGACACATAGGAGCGCAGTGCCAAGCCTGTCGAATGGTTTCCAATCGATTAGTCGCCCGATTGGCTCTCATGCCGAACCCGCCCCCCTGCCTACTCACCTACTATGAACACCTTGGCCACTTCCTTGAATGATGGCTGATCCTTAAGCAACATGGTCGTGGTGCGCGCTTGACCCTCGTCTACTTCGTTGCGTTCCGTGCCTTCACAATAAGATTTGGATGATGTATATATCTATATATATACACTTGTATATATAAATATATCTAGATATGCCTATATATATATTCGCAATATACATAGACCATATGTAGCTATATATTTATGTGGTCTGCTGTCTTTTGTGTTGTTTTCGTAATCAATAATGTTTGTTGCTTGTGTGCAATTCTTGTTTGGTGGCGCACAACTCCTACAATTTTGAAAAACAATTTCGAGCAATATAAATAGAAAATCGACTCCGTGTAAACTGATCTCAGAGTTTGTTTCCAATGTTGGCTCATGGCTGCCTCAGTTTCGGCTGCTCAAACCTGTCAGTCGCCCGCCTACTAGACCGCTTACCCATATTGGCATTTTGGCATTTTGGCCCCCAGCACTGAATGCTAATCAATTACACAATTACCCAGTCCAATGGAGCTCCAGCCCCATCCACTCTGCGATGAAGCGAGATTTACAAAATTGTTCACAAACAGCGAAAATCAAACTCGAATTCGCACATCAATCTGAGCTGCCGCAATACCCTGTAAACAGCTCAAGGAGTGTTACCTATTTGATGCAGGGCTATCTAAGCTAATAAAGTCGATGCATTGAGGTTGCACTTGCATTGTCATCATTGTTATTACTATCATCATTGTTATCAATGTCATTTTTATTGTCATTATCATTATCATTATCATTATCATTATCATTATCATTATCATTATCATTGGTATTGTCATTACCTTTGTCATTCCTATTGTTATTGTGATTATCATTAACCATTATTAGCAATAATATTCTCATTGTGATTCGCATTGACTTTCCTAACATTCTCTGCTAATGCATATACTTGTCATTTGTATTTTCATTGTCATTATCATCATCATTCTCATTGTCTTCTGTCTAACTACTTATCATCAATGATAATTATTCATTATCATTATCAAAATATTATTTTGCATAACCAAATTTCATAGACAATCTATCTTGCCTATGGTAAGGGTGTTCCAAGTTCGGCAGACCAAAGCCAACACGTCCATACAGAACAGAATTTTTACCGGATTTTATTTTTGCTGCGCATACGTGTACCGCTATGTATGACTAGTTGCCCGAATCCGCAGCTGGCCCAGGCTCATTTGGCATACAGTCCAAATTCATGAGCATGTTCCGGAATACCTTTGGCTATAGCGGATGACAATGAATGGCACGATGATGATGCGGACGAGAACGATGATGGCCGCGATGACAGCATGTGCGCACACATACATACATGCATGAGCTGCAAACTGCTATGCGTTGCACTGGCTGAGGTGGTGGTTGACAAAATGGCGGGTCGGCGGCTCAGCGAGTGGGTGAATTAATTAGTTGCTGCATTGCTCGGTATTGCCCTCGGCCTCGGCGTGCGTTGGCCAGGCAGCGCAGCCAGCTGCTGCGATTCGTACTCGCACAAACCTAATTTGATTACTCAATAATTGTCATGCTGTTTGCTACATAAAGACTCTTCTATGCAGCTGTCATGCAGCTCGTCAGCTGTAACGTCCAGTGGTATTTTACATGGCATTGCCATAAAGCATCAAAGAGCTGCTGATAAGCTTGCATAAAGTAATAGCAGCTGAATACACTGTTATACTGAACAATCATAGAGCGGATATGTCGATTGCTCTGTGGACATTTCTGTGAAGGTTTTTAATCATTATATAAAATTGTTTTACAAAAATATTATAACAAAACTATTATGCAACTGTGATACATGTGCCACTAATATACTTGATACACAACTGTCATACACAGCTTTTATACACAATTGTTAGGTTATTATAAAATAATGTGATGCACAACTGTTATACATAAGTTGCATACACTTGATAATCGCAACTGTTATACCCGATAAATACAACAAAAACAACTGTTATACATAACAGACAGATACACAGCTACATTACTGTTGCGCAACATAGCTGTTATACTAAACACAAGTGTTATAATACACAAAACTGTTATACTAAACACAACTGTTATACTAAACAAAACTGTTATACTTTACATAACTGTTATACAAAACAAAACTCTTAAACTTAACATAACTGTTATACTGAACATAACTGTTACACTAAATGTCTAATTAATTTGTAAATATGTGCTTGTCGACCTAGCATATAGGTATTCCGTTATCACTCGTAGAGCGACTATTCTTCGTCATTGCCCTCGTGTTGGCTCCGACAAAAAAAAGAAGGGAAAAATCTTTTTGAAATTATTGCTGTCGCAGGCAGCATCATCAGCAGAGTAGGAGCAACCAGTCGCCGACGCGTCGACGGTCGAGAGACCATCCACTTCGTTTTATGCAATTACCCATATGCAGTGATTGTCCACTTTGGCGCACTCTAACATTCATATGAGCCCACACGCACACATACATACATTGACAAGTGCCAGCAATGGCCATCGAGCCGCATAGCCAACAACAGCCGCCCAATAAACAGCAAAATAAAATCCCCGTCCAATCCATATTCAAACGCTCGGCCGTTCCATCTATGGACGGGCGGCAGTACTCGCTGTTCGTTGCTCGGGCCATGGACGTAGTCAGCTTTTATGCTTTGGCCATATGCATGGCATGCAAATCGATTGATGTTGATTAGCATAAATTGTCTGGACCGCATTGTGCAATGAATAATTTTGGTATGTGCCAACACACACACACACACACACACACACACACACGTACTGTGTGCAGTCTATTGTTGGTACTTTCAGCCCTAATGCAATTTTGTTTTGGTTAATTTGATAGGCGTTGTCAGTGGCAAGTTGCTGCGTTGACACTTTGACAATGCGCCCGGTACGAACATGACAGCTCGGGCCCCAGCCGATAGATAAATGCCATTAGATGGCCATGCCGATGCACATGTTGCGTGACCTAACCAACTGTTATACGCCAACAAAGTGATGCAATAAAATGGGAAAAAAGAAATCGAAAATTTAAGCTTTTTCAATTAATTACTTAAGTGGTTCCTTCGAGTATTTCTTCTGAATGAGAGTGTTATACGTTAACTTGTGCCACATGTATAAAGAAGGTGATGTATATGTGACTATGTATAACAGATGCACATGATACATATGTCAATATGAATAGGTGATACATATAACATCGACTTTGATAATAGATGTGGGTTTATATAACAGTGTGTATGAGCTGTTATACAAATTGAGTTTTAGAAGCGGGTAATATATAGTAAGTTTTATACAAAAGGAACTAGCTCTGAGCTACTGTTATACCACATGAAATATGCCAATTAACGTATAAACGAATGCTGTTATACAAAAAACAGTTATACTGCAATTGCTTATGATTAAAAGTAACAAACCGAGTCAAATATGAGCTCTAAGGAAAATGCGTATAACAGACTGATTAATCAAACTTGATGAAAAAGTATTGCAATACAAAAACCTGAGCACTCTTTAAAAGCCATAAACAACTATTATCATTTGAGGGCATTTCGAGTATATCACATTTGTTATACAAGCTCTTGCAAACTATTATACGAATGATTTGGCATGGGCATTGTTTTAGGCTTCTTTCGGTAGTCAAACTTTTCCAATAACTTGCGGCCTAATACAATACAATAAAACACGCACACACACACAGACAGACAGACACACTCACATACACACAGACACACACACATTCACACACTCGACGAAAATCTTATCAAACCGACATCATTTTCATTATGTTTTGCACTTGCACAGCTTAGACTAATGTATTCGAGGCACTGCTGGTGGTGTGGGTGGTGTCGGTGGTGTTGGTGGTGCTGGCTGCTGTTGTGCGGCAAATGCTATGCAATACAAAATGGAATCTTTGTGTGGCGCTGGGCACACGCGATACGCATTATCCACATATGTGGCGCGTGCTAATCTGGCCGCCAATAACGGCAAATTAGATTAGTAACGCCTACAGGGCGTGCCAACGGGAGCAGCAACAACAGGGCCAACAATAGCTGACCATTTGAGCAAAGCACGCAACTTTCTCTATTTCATTTTTTTTGCAGTTTCTTTTCTCTTTTTTGTTGTATTTTGTTGTTCATCGCGTGCTGCGTTTATAAATCTGCGCCCGATGCGAAACTTGTGAGGCGGCAGAAACAAATCGACACTCAAACTGCAATCCCTCGATGGCCATAGACAAGTCCATTCAATGGAACACCAACACCACCACCAACAACAACAACAACAACAAGTGGGCAACTTATGATGAAAAGTTTTTGCTTCGCTTTAAGCTGCCAGGGATAATGCCCGAATCATTATTATGCGCTAGCCCTTGCCAGCTTCACTTTCCCCACACTCCAGAGGCGTCTGATGTGCTCGTCCGATGGGGCCGCAGGGGCTGAAGAGGCTGAAGACAGCGAGTAATGCTGCCAGTATATAATTATTGTACACTATTTTGTCGTATGAATAAACTTGATTAACAAGTTCTTAGGCGATATACCGACTAACCAGAAATATCGATAAAGTTTCGATAAGTGTGAGGGATATGCGGAAGTACGTCGCACGTTTTCTGCCTGTTCTCTTTCTAATTACACGTTTAGAAAGCTCAACGATATAGAACTATCGATAGGAGACAAGTCAGTGCGGAACTAGTTCGGACATTTTGAGCCAGTTCTCTTTCAATCAGACTGTAAACAGAACTTTTGCATCAGTAGATCTGTATTAACGATAGTGAAAGGCGATTCTGACAGTGAAAGCTCAAATGGAAATGACGAAGCTGTAATGGACGCCCAAGAGAGACTGTAGAGAGAGAGAGAGAGAGAGAGAGGCGGAGAGCGGACACTCGGGAGGCAAGACAGGCAGTCAGCGAGAGGTTGTCTCAGGCCCGATAGATCATTGTCTGTATGCTGGCTGTTGGCTTTTAAACAAATTCATCCATGCTACACAAAAAGGAGAGTATCGCTGGCCCTGAAGCCACTTTCATCATTTTCAATTTCACTTTCAATTGTTATTGAACGTCCCCCGTTTCGATGAATTATGGCCACCCGGCGCCACTGTCTGCGCCCGCGGCGGGGACGGCGCATTCAAGGGCTGATGGCGCCAGCGCGACGTGGCCAAAGGCAGTTACTGACCAGGCACTTATACGGCTCGCTGGTAGCCCGACTGGGAATGGGAGCCGGGAGACGTAAAGACTTGAGCCTGAACATAAAATGAGTTATATGCATTGCGTATATCATAGAAGAGAGAGAGAGAGAGGGATAGTGGGAGAGGCTGTGGGGCAGAGGGCATCTAGGTAGACATAGGGCGTGAGAATAGCCGGCAAAAGTTTTGGTTAATTGCGAGGGCGTGCTGCGTTTAGGGTTAGTTTTTGTGGCTGCGTGGAAAAGTTTGCACGAGACGGAGAGAAAGCTGATTTTAATTGTTGCTCGACAAATTTTCGGGGGCTTTGCTTAATCACTTGCGCCAGATTAGTTTAACTTGCAACAGGCTGGGCGGCAGCGTTGCTCCTGGTTGCTGAGGTGCTGTGGGGCTGCTGGGGCCCCATCCAGTTGTCAGTCATAATTAAGGCGGGAGCGAGAGTTACGCAATGCGCTCAGCCAAATAGCATCAACTGGAAATGGAAATGGAAATGGATACAAAACTTTTTGGCCTGTCAGCAATGCGTGAAAGCTGCGCCCCAAAACTTGCTAATCAACTGCGACAGCTGCACCAATGGACCCCACCGACCACTGGAACGACCATGAGAGCATATTCGAGAATGGAGCATTCCATTCGTAATCCTGGATCAGAAATGTTAACAAATCGTATATGGGAGAGCCAACGCGTTGATCTATGATCAATTAGCAAATACTGATGTATGTCTATACAGGTTCTGGATATACATAAATGCATCTATATATCTATCTATATATCTATATATGACATTTTCATTTTAGATAATTGCAGCTCAAAAGTCGAAAGTGGAAAGTGAGGCATTGGAAAGTCGAAATACGCTTGTGCTAGTGCTGGACTGCACCACACGCGCCCTCACCCTGACGCCCACCCACCCACACTCACACCCACACACACGCATACTACTTGATTGTGTGTCTGTTAGTTAAATGCGCCGGCACTCAAACTGATTTCAATCAGGCTGCGGTTATTGTGTTGCGCGACAACCAATGGAAATTTGCAGCTATCTAAATTTCCTGTGACACGTGCCAGACACAACAGCAACAACAACAACAACAACAGAAGTAGCAGCAGCAGCAGCAGCAGCAACTGCCAACAAGTACGACCATAACAATGATGTTGCCCAGTTTGCTCAGTCCACAAGTCAACTTCAGAGCTCGCTGCTGCGGCTCGCCCGCCACCCCGTCTCTCTCCCTCCCTCTCTCTCTCTCTCTCGCTCTCTCTCTATCTGTATCTGTGTATCTGCATCTGTTGTATCTGTCGCGCCCTCACTGCTTGCTTTATGCAAATTTCCGAGACGCAGATTCCTTGTCGTTTCAACTCGAGAAGTTGCCCGCATTTCACATTTTATTGCACAGCCAAATAGCGATTTGCCCTCGAATCTTGGCTATGGCGCGCGACTTTAACTGCCAATCGATAAACCAGCCTCAGCCTGACCGCTTGCTTCATCTTTGTTTCATCTGCGTGTCTGTATCTCTCTCTCTCTCTCTCTCTCTCTCGTTTTCTTTCCCGCTCTTCTAGTCTGCCCTTCAGGCAGCCGCAAAGTCAGTTTGGCCTCTTCTATTTTGGGTGAGCGGCACTTTAAGTGTCTCCTGCATTCGCTTCAATGTAATCACAATTCTCAAATGTTTGGCATTTGGCTTTAGAGCAACCCTCAAGTTGTCTACGTTTCACAATGCTAAATCAACATATTTTTCGCTGCTCTTAAAACATTTCCTAAGTGGCCGAGTGAAAAATCCGTGAAACCTAAAATGCCTTTTACTTTGTGGGCTAAAAATGCCAATATTATCTCCAAGATTTCGAGGGATATCTCGATATCTCCGCATTGCTACTCCGCTCACCCGTCTTTCCAGCCATCAGTCTTATACTTCAACTTCTCCGATATGCCCAGTCAATCAACTCAGCTTGCTCAGAGAGCGCTCATCTAGTTATCCTTTCAGTATGCTTTCATTGGAAGGTTGACAGAAACCCAAATTAGCTCATACAAAAAGCAGTGCTAATAATATTGTAAGACTTTTGCTCCGATAGCTGGCACTTGTTTGCTTCCGTGGCCAGGACAATGAGGCCGAACGGTCCCAATCAGGCGCCTCGACGTAAGCTCATACCAAACCTATTCAGTAGCATCCTGAGGGTGGTAGCCGAATCGGATCGTCCGCTGACGCAGCACGAGATCGTCGAGGCCGTGTCGGAGCGCTTGGATCGTTCCGATGAAGAGCTCAAGCGGCAAGTAACTGTCAACCTGCATGATGCCCTCATCTATGGGTACCTGCGTGTTAAGAACTATCGCTATTCGATTGTGCCCAGTCGCGTGGATCCGAATGAGCCGCGGGAGCAAAACCGCAATGCATCGCGCTACGATTCCCCACATAGCAACAGGAGTCGAGACGATGCTGTCAAGCAATCAGCCAATCAGCAGGCAAAGGCCGAGGAGGAAAGTACGCAATAATATAGCCAAAGTATCAGATGTCCCTCAATAGACCAATATTAACAAATTCACCGAAGATATTGTAGAATATATTTGAATACAAAATAAATGAAAGGATAAAGCATCAAAAGACAAAAAAAAGTTGAGCTCGGTCATCCATTGATTACGGTAGATAGGCTGAAGGACCTGTTTAGGGAAAATGATATAAGGGAGTGAATGTTTATTATGTATTTAAAAGATATTGACATATCGAGAGTCAGCTAAAACTATAATTATATAGCCTACAAAAAGTAAAGAAAATTACAGTAGTATCACCAATCCCATGGGGGTATATTATAAATAATGATCATTGGGCTGGCATGATCAAGAATCTATAGTGATGATGCCAGGGATCTGCGTAGGATGAGTCGGGATCAAATAAAAATCTATATGGTATCGAACTTAAATTTTTTTATTATTTTACACGAAGGGTTTGCCCATTGAAATCGATTAAAACGAATAACTTAAATTTCATAGAATACCCAAATGTCTCTCGGCAACAGCCCAGCGCTCTGTGTATATATATAGATACATATATGTATTCTTGTGACAATTTGGCATTTCCTTAGATTCATGGCGTGTGTGTGAGGGGTTGTATAGGGGTGAGTGTGGGGGTGGGGAGTGTAGGGAGTGGTGAGGGGGTGGAGGAGCGGTTTGGGGTTGGAATGGTGTTGTGGGTGCTCAAGTAACGCGGAAACAAAAACATCATATATGAACACATATGAACTACACTCCGAATCCCTGGCAACGGCCAAGATTGCTTCGAGTGATTGTTGTGCCTAAACAAATGCTGGATCCTAACGTATGCGCCACGACAACGGCTCCTTCTCCAGCTCCTTGGCCCGCTTGGCAGCCTCCTGGTTGCGCTTCATGATCTCCTTCTGCTCCTGCTCCGACAGCAGCGTATAATAATTGCCATCCTTGCGCAAATAGCCATTGGCAACGGCGCCGTGCAGTGTGTGGGGTATGTGGCGCTTGAGCTCGACTGGCAAGCGCTGCAGCCGCATCGACAGCATGCCAATCATTTCCGGATAGCTAACCGAACGGTTCAGCTCACGCATCAGCTTGATAACCGTTTGGAATAGATCCGGCAACTGTTGGCGCCTGCCATTGGTGCGCTCCGACTGGCTGCCCGAGTGCGAGAACGCTTGGGCGTGTAGCTGCGGCTGGGATTGGCTAGGCACCAGCTGTATGGGCGGACATCGGCCCGTAGCTATACCCATATGCATGCCCATACCCATACCCATGCCCATGCCCAGGCCCATGCCCATGCCAAAGCCAGCACCCGCCATGGCGAACGCTGTCGCAGCAGTAGCCGGTGCCGGTATTGCTGTGACCGATGCCACTCCTCCTGCCGCGCCATCAGCAGCTCTAGCACTGGATGGCGTGAAGCTGGGTGCGCTCACATTCAGCTGATGCGACCGCGACGAATGCAGCGGCTCGAAGAGCTGGTGCTGGCGTGCCAGCTGCTGGTGCTGGTGCAACAACTGTTGCTGCTGTGCCAGCTGATGCTGGTGGTGCTGATGAACGAACTGCAGGTGCTGATGATGGTGGTGGTGATGCTGCGGCACATCCCAGCCAGTCCACGAGCGCACGTTGTAAATGTGCGGAGTGCGATTCAGGTTTGCATGCACCCCCGTCTGATACTCGGAGCAGTGTCTGTAGATGATCGGCAAATTGCCGGCGCCAATGCCAAACGAGTTGCTGAGGCGCCCATTAATGATAGGGACATTGATAGTCCTGCCAGCTTGAGAGTCGCCGCGTCCGTAGCCCAGTCCCAGTGCCGGTGCCTTACCCTGTGCCGGTGCCTTACCCTGTGCCGGTCCCTGACCTTGTGTCGGTCCCTTACCCTGTGCCGATCCCTGTTCCTTCTCCTGTCCTAGTTCCTGTCCCTGTGCCTGTCCCTGACCGTATTCCTGACCATGTCCCTGTTTCGGTGCCTCTGCCTGACCCTGCGACTGTCCAATTGTGCTGCTGTGTTGACGAGTGTGGGCCTGTTCGCCAGTAGCTGAACCGCCCATGCTCGGGCCGCTGCTGCGCTCTAAATGACTCGACGCCATTTGTATCCCGCTGCAGGACTTTGTATTGCTGCTGTTGCAGTTGTTACAGTGATTGCTGTTGTTGTTGTTGCTGCTGCTGTGATTCAATGCAGGGCGCGATCCGTAGCTTCGGCTATGCGTACAAATATCCTCTTGATGCTGATGTTGTTGCGGCTGATAAACTGTTGCTAATTAGCTTGACTCGCTTGATTCGTCGTCTACTGGGCCGTATTACCTGAATTGAATATCAAATTATCTCTATTAGCGATTGGAATCAGTATATATATACATATATATTCATTCAGTCTATCTATTTCTTTCCTCGGCGACTTTTCAAGAGAGGTTGAAGCTAAAGGTCCTAGGTAAAAGTTTTGTAATTGACGTACCTGCGTTGAAATTATATCGGAGCTCTTTATGAATTAGTATTGTCACTTGCGTAGATCTGGGGACGACTAACGACAGCATTCGACTTAGCTATTGACATTGTTCTCAAACCTACTGCCATGAGTAAAACAAATTTGTCGTATATATGCCGAGAGACTAACAAATCGGAATGGGAATCGATGCCACAACTATGCATCGATAAGTCGATAAGCCCACCTCGACCAATTATTTGTTTATCAATCATATTCGATTCATTGCAGGAAGGCCTAACTTGAAACTAAATTGTAATCGACTTAAGGCAAAGCCGCTTTGCCTAGGACTCATCCTCCCCAACTTCAGGGAGCAAAGCCAAGCCTCTGACTTGGCTTAGTTCAGGTGTGGAGATGTGTTGTGTAGATCGAGTTGATTTAATCGAAGTGAAACATACCGTTGTATTCTTCGCTTATGTACAAATTCTTAATGTAGATCTTCCGTTAGAGTCTATGTATAAGTCATCATTTGAACCAACGTGAACCACTTCTTAACAGTCGTGCCAAAGTTGTACCTTCGATCAGTTTAAGTAAAAAGTCCTCTCTGTGTAGATTTAGGGTTACTCAAATATCTAAAAACTAAAACCAAATAAGTTTATTCTGAAAAATTTTTTTCGAAACTGCTTTTCTACCGAGAATTCATAAAAACTAACACGGACATTGAATGACTGAACAGTCGTCGCCTGTGCGATACCAAGTTGCTGTGTTGAAATTTAATTTGTTGAGACTTGAGAGTTGAGTGAGGGTTCACTTACGTTTATGGAAGTACTGATGGCTTTTGAAGGTAGATGGATCAAGGAATCGATACTATAGGCCAAGGAGTGCGAGAGAGTAGGTAAGAGCTAAGTTTTAGGTAGACGGATGGATCGATTAGTACAAAGACAAAGACTACTCCGTATCTCTCATCATGTCAGGTTTATTATCAATAGAGTTTGATGCGATTGTAGCACGTGTAGAATATTTTATTATAAGACTTGGAAAGTCTAGTTGAATATGCTCTTTGAGTCGATTCCATACAGATTGGAATAAGGACCTTTTGTGTCGGTAGCCGCATATTAGCTCCGCTTCACTTACAGCTTCGCTGAAGCAAAAAGGCCGTGCGTCGGGCTTTGGGTATCATAAACTTGTTTCTTTACTGGCCTGTGGCCTGAGGCCGAGCAAGACCCAAATCCGTTTATGATATAATGTAAAACAATAATGCCAGCAAGCAGCCGCTAGCTGGAGTCGGAAAGTTATGCCCAAATAAACAAAAATATATGAAGAAAACAAACAGAGCGAAGGAAACCCAACCCGGGGCGGGGTCGTGATGAGGTGCGAAAAATCAGTTGAATTGAAATTGCGTGACTTATGGCAAAGCAGTTGAGCCCGAGGGCTAGTTGGGTTGCTCGACAGCGCAGACCTTGCGAAGGGTTGCTTATGCTTCTACGGGCTGTTCTAGCGAAATAGCAGACTGTGGAAAACGTCCTAAAAGCACTCCAAATTGACAGAATGTGATGTGAGTTAAGGAATTCCCGAAGTGAACTCCCTCAAGTGTACTCGACTTTGGCTGCTTGAGCTGAGCAGTTGATGGATATGAAACAGAGAACTCGTAAAAATAGGCCTATGAATGAAGTATATCTCTATATGCTGTATGATCTATATATGAACGAAGTCTTGATAACATGAAACAATTTTGGAGATAGAGATAGATAGGTCGATCGATGGAACAGATCGAGCAAAGCTTTTTTCTATGGCATGTCCAAGTTCAGTTCATATATAACCCAGCTCGCTGTAGTATATGACAGCTATCTCCATTGGCTTGATGGCTTTATAGTCTTCCAGTAGAGCTCTCAGCTCTGATGATAAAGCTGTGACGAACCTCATTATTATAGATGCAGGTCGGCAGCAGAGTGCAAAGAGGTTAAGTGAGGTGAAGAGGGTGAGGACTGGTGGGCAAGTCCATTGGTCCAGGAGCAAGGCCCGAGGCAGGCACACGCACACAGATGCATCAGCGTGACTTAACCTCAAATACAGTGACTTCCGTTGCAACAGCAGCTGAGTTGATGCAACTCAAGCTCAGACAGCAGCAGCGTCACACAATGCATCAACTGCAACTGCTTAGATGAGCGTATATGTGTGTGTGTGTGTGTCTTGCTTGGGACCACATATATCCTGTCTGGGAGCCCCTTAATAGCAGTTGCTGTGCGACAATCACAGTGCGTGCCACGCCCATTTAACAAATGACGCCAATAATAACAGCACACACACACACGCACACATACACACATAAAGCTCGTGTGCGTGTGAGTTTGTGTGTGTGTGTGGGTCTTTTGCGTATGCATTAAGTGGATTTGCGGCTGGCGCCTAAAGCTGACACCAAATCAAATACAAAACCAACTCTTAGTCAACCTCCCTCCCCTCCCACCTCCCCATACGTCTAGCGCTTTCATTGTGCCGGTGGAGGGGGCGGAGGCTTCTGGCCAAGCAAGAGGCGCAAGTGTGGCGTGGGCGTGGCGTCTTAGCTAGTCGACAACATATGCTTCAACCACAAGCTTAAGCCATTCCTATGTGGCCTACCCAAAGCACCTCATACAAACACACACACACGCACACACACATTGACTGGGTCAAATAGCAGCTACGAGTCGTCAAGCTGTATTTCAATTAGTTAATTTTGTTTCTCCAGCAATTGAATACTGCAGACGTTGCATCATTTGCTCAGCAACTAGGCTCAAGGAAAGGAATATTTAGCTTTCAATTAAATGGATAAGTAAGTAGAGATGCACTCATTATTTAATGTGTGTGCAAACGATTTATTATGCAATATATGTATACATGCAGCAGCTGCATAGGAGGTGAGTGAGAGAGATTCCTCTGGGCTGAAACAATGCAGTTCTGTGTCATTATTGAGCTAGAGAGGGAAAGAGAACGAGAGGAACAGAGAAAGGGAGAGAGATATGGACGAATATAGAGAGAATGATGGAAATGTGAATGAAGAACGAAACAGACCAAGAAAGAGAGAGATGGAGCTTGGGAATGCTATCAAATATTAAATAATATCTGTCGAATATTCAATGTCTTAACAATAGGCTCGGTGCAATGAATATATCCTCTCATTATTAGATATCATTTTATACTCCTTCTACCTAGAGGCACTTTAAGTAAATAGGGTTAACAGCAAACTTGCTTTCGAAAACAAAAGCTGTCGCTGGAGGGAGTCAGGGGGGTGCGAAGAAATTTGTAAGAAATTTCAGCTGTCTAGACAGAGAAGCACTGAGAAAGGAAATAAGTGTGGGAGTGACAGAGAGAGAGAGGGAGAGAGAGAGAGAGAGGGAAAGAAAATCACTTAACAATCTGTAAGACATTTTCACTTCAGTTAAGGGCATTTTGAGGATTCCAGTGCAAACTCGAGGTCTGTTCGAGTGCAGCTTTCGATTCACTTTCCCAGTGTAAACAATCGCATTAGTGAGCTCTACTATTGATAAGTCCTGTTCCGCCAAGTGGTAGGAGTTCTTCAGATGATTAAAGAGTGGTCGAGTTGTTAAAGAGAACTTTATGTGAATGCTAAATATCTCTCTGTCTCATTCACTCCCTTTCTCAAATAGTTAACTATAGAGCGAGTTGTTGTTGTTGCTGCTGCTGTTGCTGTTGCTGTTGCTGCTGCTGCTTCTGTTGCAAATATCTAGAGCTCATCATGATTGTTTTGTAATTGGAATGCGACAATGCGGCGCAAACAGCGGCAGCAGCAACAGCAGGAAATGGAGGCAGCTGATATAATGCAAGCAGGGTAAACACAGTTCAGCCAACCAGCCCAGAGCACCCAGAGCACCCAGAGCACCCCGACCATCCGACCCAACTGGCAGGACAAGTGAATGCCAGCGCGGGCTAACAATTTGCTTCAATTATAAAAAGCGTCGCGACAAAGTGGCGCCACCAAGCGGCGGGCGGCGGCAGCGACGACGGCGGCGGCGATGGCGATGGCGGCGAATGCATTGAGGCATGGGCTTGGGCGAAGGCAGCATTGATGCTGTTGCTCCAGCTCCAGCAACGGCTTCTCCTGCTGCCGCTGGTAATCAGCATGGAGCGCAGAGTCAACAACTGTGCGAGCGATGACGCGATGCCGGCGACGACTGCGACGTCGACTCCGACTGCGACTGCGACTGCGACAGTGGCTGGCGTCAGCCAGGACCCATCTTTGTCTGGCTGTGGCTGGGAATTGGTCACAGAGTCGGGGCGGGAATTGGCTGCCAGGCATCGCCTTCGCCTTCGCCTTCGTCGTCATCTTCGCTTTGGCTTTTGTGCGATGCATTGCTATTTGTATTACATATTTCGAATTGAATTTTAATTACGTTCCTAACGCACTGCCAAGCTGCTTCATAGCATTTTCCCACTCTTTTGATGGACTTCCATATAAATATATACTTATTTATATATACATATGAATATGAATGCAAGCAATTTAAAGATGTGATTAACAGTTGCTAATGAGAAGGAGAGACACAAAATTAAAAACAGAAACCGGAGTGAGAGGAAGAGCAAGAGTGATAGAGATGGGAGATCAGTATAATCAAAGCAACAAGGCAAAGGAAAGAAAAGGATTACGACAGGGAGAGGGAGAGAGAGAGAAAGAGTACGTCTGCTCTATGATAGAGATGAAGAGAGGAGAAGTGATATAAATAGACAGAAAGAAAGATAGAGGCACAGAGACCTAACAAAGGGAATAGAGAGAAAGAGACAGAGATAAATACAAACCGAGAGAGACCGAGAGAGAAACGTAAAGACAGAGAGAGAAAACTATAGCAAAAGAGCGACAGAGCAGCAGGGAGAGACAGCGAGGAGTGTTTGAGAGATGGAGAGATCCAAAGTACAGAATAATATCGAAAAGGCGCATGGAAGGAGAGATAAGGATTGAGAAACGAAAGTAAAAAGAGATTGATCAAATATTAAGACAATGAGAGAAGGAAATGAAAATAAAATGAAAACTAACTGTAAAGTATAGCACTTGCAACTATGTATTATCATTGTATTGGAGATGAAATATGCCAGGCTTAGGCTTAAAGCTACCCTACCTTCCCGTTAGCATTGGTGTTCGATTAGTTGATTACAATTATAATCACTATTAATCTCTCTCTCTCTCTCTCGCTCTCTCTCTCTCTCGCACCCTGGGTCTAGCTCTCTGACTACCTTTCTGTTGCGCTTAGCAGCAAGTGCCTCGAACTTGTTTGCTGTGCTAAGAGCAATGCACAGAATGAAATCGCAACAACTAAGCAATTATCCCGGGCAAGTGGCGAAGCTCACGCTTCGTGCTTAAGCTGTGGCTGCAGTGCATGTGCCGGACGGTGGTTAAGGGGTTAGGGGAGTATTGGGCACGGAGACTCGGACTTGGACGTGCCAGGACATGACCGTTGCGGACTGGCCTAATCACACGCTCTCGCATAAATACTCAACAGCGATGATTTACTGTACACATGTGATTCATAAATATCACTCATCAACATGGAGCAGTGTCGACCAAAGGGACTTACCTCCTCGCCCCCTCTGCTGCTGCTCCTCGCACTATCTCGCTCGCTCGCTCTGTGAATGTGTGTGAAGTGAGCTTAAAGGATATGGGAGCTTGTCCGAGAATGGCCGGGCTGTCCATAGCACAGCTATCCCCATCTGCAGCTCTTGTTGTGCTTAGCCGGGTCGT